ATTTCCCTAGAATTTTGCTTTCCTCCTTAATTTGAATAACAAAGAGAAACAGAGATAGAACCACATCTGTTGACTCTTCTCAAATATTTCTGAATATGGGGTGGAGGGAAAACATGAGACACCAAGAGCATGACGCACAGACACCGAGGAAACCGTGGATGTGCTGACTGGCAGATGGTCAGAGCCAAATGAGCAAATGTGTTTCTATTCCTGCTCGCAATTAAGTCTCAGCCCTCCAACCTCAAGTGCAGAACTGGACCTGTTTTCACTCTTCCTCTTTTCTGACAGGATTGAATCAGTGTTATCCTGGTCTATGTTCATTTTTTAACATACCTTCTTCCTTCTCTCCATCCTTAACTTCGGTTTCCAACTCAAAAAATGTTGATTACATTAGAATGTGTAAGGATCAAAAAGAAAAGGAAACAGATGGTTGTACAGCAAATTAATATTAAGTTAATATGAGGTTAAACCCAAATACTTAAATGGTCTTGTGAATACAGTTTTTTAAAGATTTTTAACTTAAACAATGCAAATTGTGATTCCATAAGCCAACGAATGGACTGTTTTCACTTCTTATTTCAGGCATTTGTCATCTTAGACACCAGTGCCCTTTCTGACTTTTGTCTTGTGTGTTGATCTTAGTCATGTCTGTCCGAACGCAGATAGAAAATACCACAGACCTGAGAGTGATTGCAATTTGTCAGTTCTGTACAAGGAACCACATTTCAGGAGACCAGGGACTCTGGTCTAACAGCCCTGGACAGAGGGTTCTGCTTGTAACTTGTTTGTCTGCATTTGAAAGCCTGAACAAGCAACCTCCAGAAGGAGACGGCCGGCTCTCTGGAGGGGCAGTTGTAGGCGCTGGAAGAGGCTGGCCCGTCCTCCGGGTCCTTTGGATTGTAGAGGAGTTGGAGCAGACGGGGAGAGTCGGACAATTGGGAGATCAAATGGCTGGCCTAGAGCACGCCTGTGTCTGGTGCCCAAAGGCTCTCTCCCTCCTTTGGGGGGCAGCAGGAACTCACACCTGTCCTGCACTCACCCTAGTGATGGGTGATGCGGGTGGGACTGACCCCACCTCGGTTTGTTCATCGTCTCACCCTTGGTCCTGGTAAACAGGGCTCATATCACACATCCATTGCTGACTCCTTCTCACAACTCCGCGGCCAACTACTCACAGGTCCTGCCAAGGCCTCCTGAATACTGACAACAGGGGTCATCACTGCCACTTCCTTTACTGCCAGGTGCCAGCTACCGTGCTGGGCTCTTTACCTACAACTTCCCATAAAGCCCCGAAACTCTTCTGTGTGGTAGATGAGGATGGGGATGAGGATAATGAGGATGAGGATATCCACGTGTTAAAGATTAGAAAATTGAGGCTTATGGCAGATGGATGATTTGTGTTAGAAAGTAGGTAGCGTCCAGGGTTTGGACCAAGCCTTCCCACCTCTTTCCTCTTCTTTCCTTCAGCTCATCCTTCTGTTTCTTTCCTCTGCCCCGCTTCCTGGTCTCATGTAGGCTCACCATCCTCACTCTCCCCCAGTAGCCTCCTGGCCAATACCTCTGTCCCCAGGATTTCCTAGTCTACATCCTCCATCCATCACCACCAGAAGCAATTCCTTCTTGAAATCTTGAAGCAATCAAGCTCAAAAGCCTTGACCGAGCATCCAACCCCTCCCCAGTCTGACCCCTTCCACACCCCAGCCACCGCCCCTCAGCTCCCGACACCAGCCCTCCTTTCTAGGGAGATTGTTCTACTCATTATCCCGCCCCTTCCATGTGCACCTGGTCTCATCTGAGAAACCACCACCTGCCCTTCTTCCTGGAGGACTTTCCCGTGTGCCCTCCTCCTGTTCACACCCCGCCTGCCCTGAGAGCTGGGGTATGCCCTTCTCCTGGAGGAGTCTTCTCTGACACAGGGGCTCTTGGCCTTCACCCCCACATCACGCCTGACACTTTCCAGTGTCTTGAGTGATGCTCTGTCTTCTTCCTCCACTTAGTCTGAGCAGTTGCTGAGGTCAGGGCGTGCATCCTCCTGCTCTGTCCCCCTCACATTCATTTCCTGGCCCTTTCTTTGACTAATTAAATGCTTCTCTCATCTTCTACCATCAGGGTCCTTAGCAGCACAGCTCGGGGTTGCTTCCCTTCATCGGTGTGCTCCCTGATGATGGGGACACACTCGTCTCTCTTTCTACCTATCCTAAGACTCTAAACTGTGCTTCCAGAGCCTTCTGTATTCTCCGGGGTTTCCCTGAGCAGGATGGATGAGACCCATGCTGATGGGGTCTGAGTCTTGACCCTCCACACCCTACCTCCAACCAGAGCAGGAAGTCTTATGTGTTCCGTGTTCTGAGCACTTACTAACCTCTCTGGGCAGACACCTAGTTCAAATCCTGGCTCTGCTTTACTTTCCACATGGTCCTTGGGTAACTTATGCAACCACACTGGAAAGACTACCAGCCTTCCTTGACAGATACTGTGAGAACAGAGGAAACAGTGCACCACAAGTTGAAGCTTCCTGGGATGGACAAGCCGTGGAGGCTGGCCTTGGTTCTTGCATCCCTCCTACTCTTGGAGCTCATAATCTCTGTGAGGTTACAGCACGTCCTTGGCAAGAGTTCTGAGCCAGCTGCAGGCCAAGTCAGCATTGTTTCCTCCTCTGTGGGGCTCCGATGATGTGTCCTCAGTCCCTGTGGAAATCAGAATCAGTGCTTCGTGCTAGGGCATTTAGCAGCGGTGAAATCTTATGACAGCAGAGTGGGCGATGATGGAGTGCTTAGTCTGTGCCTGGCACTCCACAAAGCTGGCCGCAGGCATCCCCTCATGAGCCCAGGTGGCCCCAGAGACCACAATCTCCATCTATGACGATGCTAAAGGCCACTGACACAGCACTAGAATTGGAGTGCTTTGCTCCTGGCCCATCTCTCCAGCTCAGCCACTGTCTGGATCACCACTGTCCCCAACTAGATGTAGGTTTGTCTTCCAAAGAGGTGAGTCAGAGAGATCCCACATGCCCTCAGCACCAGGGTCAGCTGGGAATAAGATGACATGAAGTCAAAACAAAGTTGGAAATATAAGAACGGGGGGAGGCAAGCAAGAACACATGTCTAACGGTGACTCTTTCTTGGAATTTAAGGAATAAGATTTGGACTTCAGTTAAAATTCCTTGGCAAAGTAAGCCAACCACCGAAAAAAGGAGGATTTGATCAAGTTTGGGGTTTAACTGAGAAACAGTGATGTTGAGTGGTTATCCAGAGGAGAAGGATCCAGAAGATGGCGGTGAGGATGGCAGCTCAGGCTGAGGTTGGACGGAGCAGGTGTCCTCATTCAGGAGAAACTGGTCCAGGACAACTCGATGAATCTTGGCTCTTGTTTGTTTGCTTGTTTATTTGTCATATTGTTGTATTTTCTCAGAGACTTTCTTGACTTTCATCTTCCAAATATTCTGTTGAAATGTTTATTTCAGAAATCATGTGTTGTTACCATTTAAAAAAAATTTTTCTAAGGGTTCACTTTCATTCTTGTTCCTTTTTCAAATCATCATGTTCTTGTTTCAAATGAAAATATCCTCTCACTCTGAAGACATAAATGATTTGTTAGGATGTCTTTCTTCCCTAAATCATTTCCACTTCTCCTAGTTGCTATGCTCCAAGTTGGGCTGGCATTTTATGCCTTTCTCCTTCTCTCCCCCATTTCTTGATCTTCCAGATAAAAAACCTGTAGTTAAAATCTGGGGCTTAGTTATTTTTGTATTCCATATGTAACTATATCTGGTTAAAAAAATGTACTGGTCTATACCATAGTTAATGGATTTGTTTCTGCTCTCTCTATATGTAGTTGACCTAGGCGTCAATGTAAACTGAATTGGGTCACAGTGGCTGGGTAGTTAAAAACTAATTTGGGATGAATGATGCTAAATACAATTCATGCTGTGACATGGTTCTGTTCATATCAACTGGAGTTTCATACAAAAGCCATCAACACATTGTGCCCGTGTCCCAACTGCCCCGATTTACAGCAGAGCCATCTCGCTCTCTTAGGTCAGGCCTGCCTGGAGGTCCGGCGCCTCCCACAGAGCTTGGGAAATGCTCTGTGACACTGGGCACCTGTCCTTATGCTGTTCAAGTCATGAGAGCTCTGTTCTGACCGTGTGACATACCTTCCAAGGAGAAACTGTGACCCAGAGAGAGGAGCAAAAGACAGGAGCTCTGCTGAGGGGACAAGGGGCAGAGTGATGTGTAACTCCAGTATTCAAATGTTCCCTTATTCCAAAACTCAAGAGATCGATCCAGAAACATATATTTTTTCACTCAAAATGGTGGGAGAAGCTTGGTCGTTGGGAGACGGTTCAAACTGATTCCAGCTCTTACTGGCTACGTGAGGTGGGGAAGGTAACGTGATCTCTCGAGGCCTCTCAATAAAAGGATCAAGACCCGCTCTTCTGCTCTTGAATGGTAGGATGCTGAGTGGTGACTTGGGGAAGTGATGGAGTGAGAGAGGGACCCCGGGCAGCGTGCCTACCCTGGCCTCCTAGAACTCTTTTATTTCCAGGAATCCAGTCTTTCTGTCTACAAGGTGTCGTATGAGTAACCAATACTTCCACAAAAAGGGGGCTTACCATGAACTTCAGAAAGGAAGGTAGGAAGTCACAATTTACTGCAGATTCCATCTTCCTCTGCTATCAGACTCCCTCACTGGTTCTTCAAAGCAGACTTTGAAGAGAAAGTTTTTTTTGAACATCTTTATTTGCCCAAAATGGAAAGAATGATCTCATTAGGCCCAGAGCTGTGATTTCACTTTAGGTTCGATGGGAAGGACAAACCAGCTCCTTGGTAACAAAGCCCATTAAACACACACATATTCGCTAATAGCCAGCGGATGTTGGCAGAACCCCTGCCATGTAGTCCTACATAAACACTTTCTGTTCCATATTGCAGAGTTTTAAAAAAGAACATACATTGGACTCTATTTCAATTCAAGAAGAGTTTAATTAGCATCTATGTAGGCAGGGCGTTTAGGTATGTTCTGTTGGGTGTGGAGCACGTGTGTATATGCCGGTATGAGGTTTCCCCTCTTTAGGGAGCACGCAGCCTTGTTGTAGAGACAAGACTACCTCATGTTCCATAGTAATCATTATAATCTTAATAATAACAGTGGTTAACACTTATTGGGCACCTACTGTGTACCAGGCACTTTCTGGGGTTCACGTGGTGCTCGCACACAGTCTCCCCCAGCAAATGGTAGTGATCGTTCCATCAGACTTCACTCTCGTTCAGCGATCTTGGAAGGGGCCAGTCTTGATTTGACCAGTGACTGAAAAGTCCTCCAGTCGCATCTGAGCCCTGGAGAGGGGAGGAGGCAGCTCTAACATCGGGCCGAGGCTGACTCAGTGCTCTTGTCTCAGACGAGCTTTACCACCGTGCACATCTTAACTCCTTAGAGTGGGAACAACGGACGAACGCCCCAAAGTCAACCTCTGCATCCGAGCCTGTTCCCTCACCATCTTCACTTCAGCCTGCATCTGCCAGGCTGCCTGATATTTGTGTGTGCGTGTGTGTGAGGAAGATCGGCCCTGAGCTAACATCTGTCGCCAATCTTCCTCTATTGGTTTTCTCCCTGAAGCCCCAGTACATAGTTGTATATCCTATCCTAGTTGTAAGTCCTTTCAGTTCCTCTATGTGGGACGCCGCCACAGCATGGCCTGATGAGCAGTGTGTAGATCTGTGCCCGGGATCTGAACCGGTGAACCCTGGGCTGCCCAAGAGGAGCGCGCAAACCCAACCGTTACACCACTGGGCTGGCCTCTGCCTGATATTTTTGCAGCTTAAAGAGAGCTGGTCACGTGCTGGAAGGGCACGCAGCCTCTGCACAGAGATGAGGATCACACTGTCCTGGGGACACTGAGTTTCCCAAAGGCCTGTGCAGGTTGACCTTCACTGCCAAGGGGTCATGGAGACATGCCATCTCTTGCACCATGACTCCAAGTGAGACAGGTTTTCATGCTAAGTTGGTCTCCATTAGTATTCTAATTGAATTGTCAACTCCTCCTTTTGGTAGCAAAGGTTATCCCTCAATTTTACGCATCAGACAGCAACTCTGAATGCCAAAGCGTGAACAGCACAAAGTGATTTTCAAGTTGATAACAAACCAGTTAGACTTTGCTGTGGCAGGAAATGCCACAGCAACCCTTACCCCAGGTCCTAAAATGTCCTGGTAACTATTTCCTAAATCAGTCCACTACTGTGCCTGGAGGTTGGTTTACTGTGTTTAGGAAATGGCTCGATAGCAAACACATAAACAGTCTCTGAAGGATGTGGAGCTGAGTTTCTCCGCATGCCTTGTGCCGAGCAGGACCACTGCTGATACAACTTGAGGGTATCAAGGATCAGCCCGACAGCATCTTTTTGGGGCGGATTTGGATAGTGAAAGAATAACTGTTGATCTCAATGAGGCTTCACTGCACATCCATCAAAGTCATTGTCATAGTTGGTCAGAGGCCTCATATGGGGTCCTGGCTAGGGTGACCCTTAGAAGGAAAATTAAGCAAATACACCAATTAAGTAAATCAATTTGCATGGGGGGACAGGAGCTCCACAAGCCAGACTTCAACCAGAAAAGGAAACAGCATCAATGGGGCTGCACGCACGGAACTACTCTGCCCCAGAGCTTTGGAACTACCCTAGGCGATTGGTCCAGAAGGGAGCTGTGTTAGTTTCCTATATTGCTGCTGTAACAAGTTACCACAAGCTTAACAGCTTAAAGGAACATGAATTTATGAAAAGCCTGCAATGGGTCTCACAGAGCTAAAATCAGTATGTCCAGGACTATGTTCCTTCTGGAGAGAAGAATCCACTTCCTTGTCTTTTCCAGTGTCTAGAGGCTGCCTGCATTCCTCGGCTTGTGGCCACATCACATCATCCAACCTCTGCTTCTGTTGCCCCATTTCCATCTCTCTGACTCAGGCCATCCTGCCTCCCTATTATAAGGAGCACTGTGATTACATTGGACCAACCCACATAATCCAGGCTCATCTCCCCATCACAGGACCCTTGACTTAATCACACCTGCGAAGTTCCTTTTGCTGTGTAAGGTAACATATTGCCTGGCTCTGAGATTAGGACGTGGACATCTTAGGGCACCATTTTTCTGCTTCCATAGGAACAAAGTTCTAAGTCAGAGGACAGTGGCCTTCCTTCTGGGAGGGGAATCATGGGAAGTGATATTCTGTATCAGTCATGGGGCCCACCCTGGGATCACTTGTGGAGAGGGAACAGGGTCATTAAAGGAATGGGGTGGAAAATTCAAGTAGTGAATGTGAGAATGAAAATGAGAACAATATCTAACACCCACATTGGGCTTCACTCTTTTGCACTCTTTGTCTTAACCATTACAACAGCTTATTGAGGTGCATACCATTATCCTCTCAATTTATAGAGAAAGAAATTGAGGCTACAGAAGTTTGAGTTACTTGCCCAAGATCACAACTCTGCATACATCTGTCATACGTGGTGGGGTCTGAATCCAAGTTGAGGCCTGAATGCCCATCTGTCTCTTTTATGGTGAGTTTAAATATTTCAGAATCATGAGGAAAAGTCCTAGCTAATGCAATAAGACAAGAAAAGGAAATAAAAGGTATACAGGTTGAGAGGGAAGAAATAAACCTGTCTTTGTGTGCAGACAACATGAATGTCAATGCAGAAAATCCAAAAGAATCTATAAAAAAATCTCCTGGGACTACTAAGTGATTATAGCAAGGTTGCAGGATACAAGGATAACATACAGAAGTCAAGCACTTTCCTATATCCCAGCAATGAACAAGTGGAATTTGCAATTAAAAACACAATACTATTTACATTAGCATCCAAAAATATGAAATAGCTAGGTATAAATCTAACAAAATATGAATGAGATCTATGTAAGGAAAATTACAAAATTTTGGTGAAAGAAATCAAAGAAGAACTACATAAGTAGAGAAATATTCCATGTTCATGGATAGGAAGACTCAATATTGTCAAGATGTCTGTTCTTTCCAAATTGATCTATAGATTCAATGCAACCCTAATCAGAATCTCAGGAAGTTATTTGGTCAATATTGACAAACTGATTTTAAGGTTTACATGGAGGGTCAAAAGGTCCAGAACAGCCAACACAATAATGAGGAAGGACAATTGGAGGACTGACACTACTCAACTTCAAGACTTAATATAAGGCTATTGTAATCAAGACAGTGTCTTACTAGTGAAAGAATAGACAAACAGATCAATGGAACAGAACGGAGAGCCCAGAAATGGACCCCCATAAAACACTTATCTGACCTTTGACAAAGGGGTAAAGGGAATACAATGGAGCAAAGGCAGTCTTTTCAATAAATTGTGCTAGAACAGCTGGACATCCTCATGCAAAAAACTGACTCTAGGTGCAAACCTTATACTTTTCACAAAAATTAACTCAAAATGGATCATAGACCTAAATGAACAATGTAAAACTATAAAACTCCTATAAGATAAAATAGGAGAAAACCTAGATGACGTTGGGTATGGTGATGACTTTTTAGGTGCAACATCAAAGGCACAATCCAGGAAAGAAAGAATTGATGTGCCAGACTTCATTAAAATTCAAAACATCTGCACTGCAAAAGACGATGTAAAGAGAATGAGATGAAAAGCTATAGACTGGGAGAAAATGCTTGCAAATGAAACATCTGATAAAGGACTGTTTACAAAATATAAGAAGAACTCTTAAAATTCAACACTGAGAAAACAGACACCCTGATTAAAAAATGGGCCAAAGACCTTAATAGACACTTCACTAAAGAAGATATACAGATGGCAAATAAATAAAGATGCTCTACATCATCTGTTATCAGGGAAATGCAAACTGAAACAATGAGATACCACAACACACATATTAGAATGGCCAAAATCTAGAGCACTGACAACACCAAATGCTGACGTGGGTGTGGAGCAACAGGAACTCTCATTCATTACTGGTGGGAACACAGAAGGTACAGCCACTTAGGCAGGCAGTTCGGTGGTTTCTTACAAAACTAAACATACTACTACCATATGACGCAGCAATCATACTTCTTGGTATTTACCCAAAGGAGTTGAAACTGATGTCCACACAAAAACCTGCACATGGATGTTTATAGCAGCTTTATTCATCATTGTCAAAATTGGAAGTAGCCAAGATGTCCTTCAGTAAGGGAATGGATAAATAAACTGAGGTATGTACTACATACAGACAATGGAATATTATTCAGCATTAACAAGAAATGAGCTTTCAAGCCATGAAATGACATGGAAGAAACTTAAATGCATATTACTAAGTGAAAGAAGCCAATATGAAAAGACTGTATACTGTACAATTCCAACCATATGACATTCTGCAGAAAGCAAAACTAGGGAGACAGCAAAAAGATCAGTGGTTGCCAGGGGTTCAGGGGAGGAATGAATAGGAGGAGTACAGAGGATTTCTAGGATTTCTCTGTAGGACACTATGATGGTGGATACCTGCCATTATACATTTGTCCAAACCCATAGAACATACATCACCAAGAGTGAACCTTCTGTAAACTATGGACTTTGGGTGATTGTGACGTGCCACTGTAGTTTTTCGATTGTAACAAATGTCCTGCTCTGTGGAGGATGTTGATAATGGAGGAAGCCATGCATGTGTGAGGGCAGGGGGCATATGGGAACTCTCTTTCTCTCAATTTTGCTGTGAACCTAAAACAACTCTAAAAAAAGAAAGTCTTTAATAAAAAAAAAATCATGAAAGTGCCCTTTTCATGGAAAGGAGGCATTTTTCACGATCACTTTCCAACAGAAAGATCTTACTGGAAGGAACCATCACACTAAGACCCTCAGATACTGGAATGAAACATGCTGCCTGTGATGCAAAGATCTCTAGCCCATAATTCATGATGCCAACAATTTCCTGCTGATTCCTCTAAGCTTAAATCACTTTGACAATGTGCATTCTCTGTTTCATGTGTTCTTCAGATCCTGTCTCTTCACAGGACCATGCTTCATGATGTAAGCTACAGACAATCCAAGTTTGTGAAGTTGATTAATGGGCCATGTGTCAGCGAAAGGATCAAAGGTTGTGTGTGTGCATGCTCTAATGTGGTAGTGTGCCCTTCCAAAAGTTCAGGGCTCTGGGGCTCCCTTCTCTACAGAGAAAAGGAGGGGGAAACACAACCCCACTGAAGAAAAGGAGAAAAATCAAAGGAAAATTTACATGGTATGAAATAGTTTCATCCAAAAAGACAAGAAATGTCAGAATGAAGAGAAACAAAGAGCAAAAGGACAAGTGTGAGCTGCCGAGTGACCGGCACTGACCATGCCTCTCTCATCATCTGGAAAGAAGTGAAGACGCTGATGGCTCCTGGGCCAGTACAGAACCCCGACGCAGAGCTGCCCTGCAGCATCTGTGTACTTGACCTCGAACAAGTGCGGACTTCAGGATAAATCCACAAATGTGTGGGCCAGCTGTCCCACCATGCAGAGCCATGTAAAAGCCTGCCTCGCTGGGCTCTGGTTTCACTGTGGCAGTGCTGGGACAGCCTATGCACAGGCCCGGGAGAAGCTCTGGCCACATGAGCCAGTGCCAGGGAAGGGATCTGGAGACTGCATGGACCAAGTAGGAGGTGTCCCCAAGGCTGCTTCCAGGAGCAGAATCATGGCCGAGAAGAGTGAGGGTCAGTGCTCAAGACCTGAGCATTCAGTGCTCAGGGTGAGAGTAGGACCAAGCAGGAGGTCGGGGTGAGGAGAACACAGGAGCAGCTGAGGGGGCGAGGTGCACAGTTCCCCAAGAAGCTTTTGGCTGTGCTTGGGTACCTGATCCTCTAAAAGTTGGAAGGTCTGGCCCGGTGGCGCAGTGGTTAAATGTGCACGTTTTACTTCGGCGGCCCGGGATTCGTCGGTTCGGATCCTGGGTACGGACATGGCACCGCTTGGCACACCATGCTGTGGTAGGCGTCCCACATATAAAGTAGAGGAAGATGGGCATGGATGTTAGCTCAGGGCCAGTCTTCCTTGGCGAAAAGAGGAGGATTGGCAGCAGTTAGTTCAGGGCTAATCTTCCTCAAAAAAATAAAAATAAAAATAAATAAAAGTTGAGTGCCTGTTTAGTTTATTGCCCCAAAATGACACTTTTGAGATTGAAATGGAAAACTATAATATTCACACCAAGATGTGCAGTTCACGCTACCCATGAGGTGCTAGCCCTGTATTGGTGCTGTGGTTGGAAGGGCAAGAGCAAGGACACCACTGGGGATGTCTATGGGTGTGACTGCCTCACAGACATGGCCACACAGGATTCTGTCCACACTGGCCCTGAATGGGACGAATGGGGCACAGATAGGATGCACTTTATGGCATTAAGTTTTACAGGCGAAAGAGTTCACATCTGGAAAACCCCAGTTGTCCCACTTTTGAGAATTTACAAGCTGGTTCCCCTCAAGACTTGAAAGACTAGCAAAATTATTCAGACAAAGAGATTCATCTGATGCAAGTTGAATATAAGCGCTGGTAATGAATGATCTAAAAGACAATCTGAATGCTTCTGTGGACCATAGATGGTCATGAACTGGTGAGGCAACCAAGCCATATACCTTCACATGCCTGAAACAGTGACCAGCAGGGGACAGTGGCAATGAGACATCAGTGAGAAAGCCTTTCAAAATTCAAGATGAGGAGTTCTGTTTCTGCTTAGGCTGTAAAAAGCTGCAAGAGAACACTGCTCCTACTGTACCCATGAGAAGAAGCCAGATAATCTGCAATGTCATAATTTTTCTTGAGTCCCTTACAGAACCGAGGTCGCAAGGCAACAGGTAAACTAAATTCCAAAGGCTGACAAGCTCCCTGAGAAGAATCGGGACACGTGGATTATTTCATGTTTCATAGAGTGTAAAATCAGGTAGTTAGCATAAAAGCAGGCAAAAAAGAAACAGCTGAATTGCAACGAGTTCTTAAATGCTGAACACAGGTGTATTGGGTTGAATGGTGGCTTCCAAAAAGCTATGTCCATGTCCTAACCCCTGGGACTGCTAGCTTACTTGGAAAAAGGGTCTTTGCAGATGTAATTAAGAATCTTGAGATGAGAGATCATTCTGCTTTATTCAAATAAGCTCTAAATCCAATGACGTTTCCTTATAAGAGACACACAGAGAAGACAGGCAGAGGCAAAGGGGACGTGAAGACAGAGGCGGAGATTGGAGTGGTGCAGCCACAAACCAAGGATGCCAGCAATTGTCAGAAGCTAGAAGAAGCAAAGGAAGAAACTCTCCCCTAGGGTTCTGGAGGGAGTGTGGCCCTTCTGACATCTTGGTTTTGGACTTCCGCCCTCCAGAATTGTGAGAGAATAAATTTCTACTGCTTTAAACCACCAAGTGTGTGGTAATTTGTTATGGCAGCACTAATAAACCAATACAATGGGCTGACGTGACAGCTTAGAATTCTAGACACAAGGGGAGTCTGCATTCACTCATCAACTTTTTTCCATGGGCCTTTACCAAGTGCTTTCAAGAAAGACAGGGAAGGAGTCCTGGGAGAGTCTGTCTCACTGTGCACAGGCATGAAAACCTGCCTGCTTCATGGATCTTTCTCTATGATGGAGCAAAAGCCAACTGGGGGAGGAACAGCCCCGAGGGCCCAGGAAAAGATGCTCTGCCTCTGGGGAAGAGGGAGAAGCAAAAGCCATCTGTCCTGTAGGAGGGGCTGAACCCAGATCAAGCACAGCATCCCGCACTGGTCCAAAGCAGAAGTTGGCTTCTTCCTACTGAGGAGGATCAGGTAGCTCTCTCCCACTCAAACCCTCCCACACACTAACAAAGCAGAGTTTGGCTCTCATGAGAGAACAGCATAAACGCTGAGAAAGCCTCATTCCTGATACCTAGATGCATACGTAAGACTGAGGCTGGAGAAAGAGGATGAGAAACTTCTCCAAACCCTGCCATGAGGGTCTGTACCAAGGAACAAGAAATCACAGCCTACCACTGGGAGAGGGTCAAGAATGTGGAGAAACTCCTCTGTATGGTGCAGATGGATGAGAGCTGAGGGTATAGCAGGAACGTGCAGGAAAATCCTACAGTGTTCCAGGCCCACAGTAAACACTGGGAAACAGCAACCTAGAAGGTAACTTTAACAATAAAAACTTGACATTCAACTCAACTACTGCACAGACTTAGTCAGCTTCCACGCCAACAGCCTGTCCAAAGATGCCCATTTCCAGGCATGAATAATGTGTAGCTCAGCTTACTGTTTTTTTCACATGCAATGTCCCACACTTAATAAAAAGAAAAACTATGAGATTCACAGAAAGATTATCAGAGATGAGTCCTTGTCAAGAGATAAAGCAATCAGAAAAACCAGACCCAGAGATGATCTAGATGTTAGAACTATCAGACAGACAGAGGTTTAAAAGAACTATAATTGATCCAACAAGAGGTAGGGGATAAGATAGACCACGTGTACAAACACATGAGAAATTTCAGTACAGAAAGAAAAATGCCTATAAAACGAGTCAAATGAAAATGCTAGAAATAAGACTTACTATAAAACTACAGAAATCAAGACAGTGTGTTATTAATGTAAAGAAAGACACATGTATTAATGGAACAGAACAGGTAGTCTGGAAACAGTCTTACACATATTATGGTCAACTGCTTTTTGACAAATATGCAAAGAGAATTCAATAGGGAAAGAATATTCTTTTCAGTGGTTGGTGCTGGAATCCTTGGACATCAATATGCAAGAGAAACGAAACTCCACTATTACCTCACCCTGTATACAAGTAACTAGAGATGAATCACGCACCTCAATGAGTAACCGGCCCTGGGGTGATTTAGGACGGGGGAATGCGTTCCAGACTGCAGCAGTCTGATAAAATGAGGTGGGTGGGGGCATGGACTCAGGATTGGTTGGCTTGCACATCAAAGGCGTGCTCTCAGGCAAATTGTTTGCTCTCTCCAGGAATTAGCTAACGCTAGGAGGGGCAATCCCTCTCTGGGTCTGCAAGGCCCCAAGATGTCAGAGCATCATAAAATACAGAAAATAAAAAGCATGATTAATATACCCCTCCTCCTAACCCTTGGCAACCACTAATCTGCTTTCTGTCTCTACGGATTTGTCTATTCTGGACATTTTGTATAAATGGAACTATGTAATATGTGGCCTTTTTTCTGGCTTCTTTCATTGAGCATGACGTTTTCAAGGTCCATCCATATTATAGTATTTGTCACTGTTTCATTCTTTTATATGGCTAACATTCCATGGTATCGCTATACTGCATTTTGTTCACCCATTCACCCACCAATGGACATTTGAGTTGTTTCCATATTTCGACAATTGTGAATAATGCTGCTGTGAACACTAGTGTGCAAGTTTCTGACTGAACACCTGTTTTCAATTCTTTTGGGTATACACCCAAGAGTGGAATTGCTGGGTCATTCTACAATCATGCTATGGTTGTTCTATGTTTAACTTATTGACGAACCACCAAACTGTCATTCACAGTGGCTGCACTTTTTTGCATTCTCACCAGCAATGTCTGTGGGTTCCAATTTCTCTATATCCTTATCAACACTTCTTATTTTCTATTTTTTGATGATAGCCGTGTGCAGCTGAACTTTTATACATTACTGGTGTGAATGTAAATGGTCTAGCCGTTTTGGAAAATAGTTTGCCAGTTTCTTCCAAAGTTAAGCACACACTTCCATAGGAATCAGCAATCCTCCTCCCCGGTACTTACCTGAGAGAAAAGAAAACCTGTCTAAACAATGACCTGAATGAACCTTTACTCATAATCTCCCCAAACTGGACACAACCCAAATGTCCCTCAACTGACGGAGGGATAAACAAATTGTAGTGTCTCCATACAATGGAATAGTCTGCAATGAAGAGGACAAACTATAGATACATGGGACAATGTGCATGAATCTTAAAAGCATTATTCTAAGTGTAAAAAACCAGGCACAAAAGCCTATGTCCTGTACGACTTCATTTTTATGACTTTCTGGAAAAAGCACAGCAGGGACATAAATTAGATCAATGGTTGCTAGTGGCTGGGTAGTGGGAGGAGGTTGACTGCAAAGGGCCCTACTTTCTGGCGTGACGGAAATGTTCTTGATTGTGGAGGTGGTTCCACATTTGTCAAAAGGCATCAAATTTTAAACTTAAAATGGGTGCATTTTATTGTAGGTATATTATACCTTTAAAAAATGGTTGATTAAAAAAACCCCTAAGAATGAGAACCAGTTCCCCATGCCATACTTGGGGGGGGCGTCCATTTTTCTGCTTTAGTATATGGAATATACTCACTGGCTAGCTGAGGATCTCGGTGTCTCAAGTTGTACAATAAGAGAGTTACAAGAAGATGCGATCATGTGGGAAGCTGGGCTGGCCCCCACCAACGTCAACAGGAAGTACTAAGAGGCTGGTTTTTGTTTCTCTGTTTTTTCCTAGGTGTTCAGCTTCTCTTCCTCCTTCCTCTTCATCGAGTTGATTGTTTTCCTCAAATCTGAGAATAAAGAAAATATCTGGTTATTTGAAGATTTCCACTACTTGCATTGTTATTGATTATATACCAAAACATTACCTGTGGAATTTTCCTAGAAGAAAACACAATATTCCACATTCCTTACATAAATCATTTAGAAAATGGAAAATTAGTGCAAATATTTTTTTTCCGTTTAAATTGCAAACCTCTATACAGCCCAAATACAAGAGGTTGTCATATAAGCTGCTCAGTTTTGAGCTACCTGGCCACGGGTTTCAAAATGGATTAACGGTGTAGGAGTAACGCTCATCCATCCTACAGCCCTGAAGATACAATACATTTTACATAGAAAATATTCCTGTTTGGTCCAGGGAAATAAATAAATAAAGGTGACACTTTCATCCTTTGATACTGGTGTTCATTAACTTTTCCTGGGGTAGGGGGAGAAAGGTCTTGGTCAAAAATATAAAATAAAGCTAGTTTCATCTTATTTTCAGAGTTCAGATAGCATCTCCTCAGAGGTTAGGCATGAGGGCCTTTTTGAAGAGGAGGAAGAAAAAGTCATGGGGCCAGAGAGGAAAAGGAAAGACAGAATTAGAGGGAGAAGCCTGGAGCAGGCAGCCCGTGCGCCCCTTATGGGCTCCCAGCCAGAGGCAACCCAGCCCCCTCCATTGTCATCCTTGAGGATGGGAAACGGGGGTACCCTGGGTTGTTACTTATTCATCTTCCCTCCTAGGGTATGAAGAAATAAAGTAGGAAAAGGAAGTCGAGTGGAATAATTAAAAACCTTTTTTAAAATATATAGCCTAGAGAAGTTACATGTCACCCCATAACCCTACATAAACATAAACACACACACACACACACGCATTTTCTTCTTTAAACAAGGACGTCCAATCCTTCTTCCTCCAGCTCACTTGGGACAGCCCTGCAGCCCAGCTCCCCACTGCTCTGCTGACCTCCATAAAAGAGAAATTTGCCATACACCCAGAAGTGTTTCCCCCAGAAGACTTCTTTGATGCATTTTTTATATTCAAGTTATAATCAGAGTTTTAACACACAAGTTTAATTCCAGGTTTGTTCCTTAAAACATTTTAGGTTTAACCTGTGTGTTTATTTAGAAAGTGTTCAGGACTTTTTCAGTCAAATTTTCAACTCATGAATTTAAAGTTTCCTGAAGGGCATTTTAAAACATGTATCTAGTTTTAATTTAAGATCTGCTAAAGCTCAAAAGTGTCATGCAGAAGAGAGACCATAATTTCTAATTATAAAGTATGGGGGACGATAAATTCACATGACCTTTTCAGGAAAGTTTATGACCAGGCCACCACAGGGCAGGGACTTTATGAGGGGTCGGGGCCTGTGTGGTCACCAAAGACTCCCCTGCCCGTTATTTAGACAGATTAAAGAAAATCACACTCTCCACGTCCTGGGCAGTGGCCCTCCCCTTTCTAAAACGCCACCAAGCCTCAAAGTGTCACATGAAGCTTTAGTTCCCAAACAGGGATTTCATTTTCTGGAAGTAGAACCCAGAAACTGTCATGTTAAGAGAACTGTAGGGATCATGAACCCCAACCTGTTATTTCACAGAGGGGAAACTGAGTCCCATGTAGAGGAAGGGACTAACCCAACGTCACCTCCTAGTCAGTGACAGAACACAGAATCCTGAGTCCTCGCCATCCTGTTCTTTGTTTTCTTTCATTTTTTTTGTAGAGATATAATTGACATACAGCATTAGTACATTGTGTACAACACAATGATTTGATCTTTGTATTGGTTGTGAAGTGATCAGTGCAGTCTAATTAACACCCACCATCGCACATACTTATGAATTTTTTTCTCTGTGATGAGAACTCTTAAGATCTACTCTCTTAGCACCTTTCATATATACAATACAGTATTCTTAACTATAGCGACCATGCTATCTGTGACATCCCCGTCACTGTCCTGTTCTGTTTCTGCTCTTCTGCACAGCCTGGCACTGTGGCTGGGTTTCGTTAATTCTTTTTCTTGCATGATAAGGCAGTGTTTAAATTGCCTGTCTTCCTCTTCCCAACTAGCGTAACTAACGGTGAAAACACAATTACACGCAGCGAGAGGAGAAATGGGTAAATGTTACCTCCCTAGTTAATCCCAAGCCTGCCCCCAGGGGTTCACAGTTTCGCTAAGAGAACTCAAATCCTGCAGCTTCTCCCTCTTAGATAGCCCCTCGTTGCCTTCCTTGCTCCCCCCAGCTCTGCTGTTACCTGGTTCTGTGATTCCTACGTTCGGTGGTTCCACGGTTCCTTGGTTCCTAGGTTCCGTGTTTTCTAGGTTCCATGGTTCCTAGGTTCCATGTTTTCTAGGTTCCATGGTTCCTAGGTTCTGTGGTTCCATGGTTCCTTCGTTCTTAGGTTCCGTGGTTCCTAGGTTCTGTGGTTCTTAGATTCCTTGCTTCCTAGTTTCAGTGGTTCCTAGGTTCCTAGATTCCTTGGTTCCTAGATTCCTTGGTTCCTTGATTCCTAGGCTCCTTGGTTCCTAGGTTCCATGATTCCTAGGTTCTGTGATTTCTAGGTTCCTTGGTTACTAGGTCACACGGTTCCTAGGTTCCGTGGTTCCTAGGTTCCATGGTTCCTAGATTCCTTGGTTCCTAGATTCCTTGCTTCCTAGGTTCCTTGATTTTATGGATGATGTGGTTCCCAGTTCCTTGTTTCCCTGATTCCTTGGTTCCCTGGTTTGTGTTGTTCCATGGTTCCTTAGTTTTGTGTTCCCTGGCTCCCCAGTTCCTTGGTCCCTTGCCAAAGGAACCTTGATTCCTTGATTCCTTGGTCTGCTGGCCGAGCTTTTGCAACAGCCTGCTAGTCCCTTCCATCACCCCAGACCTGCTAGTCTCTCCCTCCTCAGTCTTCCCTTAGCCTGGGTTCACAGCTCCACTACCTCCCTCAACATGCACTGCTGTGCAGTGTCTGTTTATGTGGCTCCTTCCCCACTTTTTGGCACAGATTAGTCACACAGTGATAATTAACACTGTATTAATACTCCTCTGTCTTCAATTAATTTCTCCCCACAGTGTACAATAGAGGACGTGTTTTTATTAGAGTGCAACCACAGTATGTGGTGAGGAGGGATGTCCACTGTGAGTCCTATTCTCTCTCCACCAGTCAGTCAACAGCATCCGCTGGTTCCCTTTGAAAGCGCAAAGTTTGAAGAGGTTAAATGAGTAGGGGCTGGGGAGGGGTGGGAGAGGAACGGGCAGAAGGTGTGAATGACTGATTTGAAGATTAAAAACAAATAGGACTAGACAGTGACAACTTAAAGGAACTGTTTGAGCAAACATCTATTCAAATTATATTAAATTATATCAAATGGTATTAAACCATGGAAATGAGGTTTCCATTTGGGCAATCTGGACCTGCATTTATTCGTTGCATTTCTTGTAGGGGGGAGTGTGTTTGGGGGGAGAAAACAAGGCTTTCTGATTCACAAATTGAAGTTAAGCTAAATCAAATCCAGCCACTCCCAGAAGAACAGTGGATGATAACCTCACAACCCACTGAGGTTGGAAAGCGCCTGAGTGGTGAGGCCTTCCCAGCAGGACCAGGAGGCGGGCTTGTGGGGGACCCTGTACCACCTATCGCTGGACTAGAAAAAGGCGAGAGATGGGTTAATGCCTTCACAGCCTCAGTTTCCCAAGTCATGGTATGAGGTTTCACTTCTGGCCCCCGAGATCTCCCATCCTGAGGGATCGGTAGTGAGCGGCTGCCCATCAGAACTGTGGAGACGGAGGCAACAACAGGGCAGCCTGGCTCCCAAGTCTGCCTGGAGCCCTCCAAGGCAGGCAGGGGGAGCACCAAGCCACCTCCGAGGACAGGTGTTTCTGCACCTGCATCTTAGCTTGTTAACACTTTCTAAAGCATTTCAGGCAGTTTCCAACTAAAAATGGTGCACATATGCATTTATCTCCCCTGTCTCCCGTACATCCATCTAAAATTGGACCAAAGGAGCCTAAAAGGCAAAAACCGAGAGCTCGAAGAGAACCAGAGAGGATCCAACAGCAGGACATGCTTGGGGAGATGGGATGAGGCTGGAGGAGAGGTAACTGATTTAGTGGACGGGGGAGGACAGGGAAGCCAGAGCATAGGCCAGGGGGGCACCCCTGAGAAGCTAGTTGGCTGAAGCCTGTGCAGCAGCATCCCCAGCCCTCAGTCAATGTCAGGAGCAGTCACATCTCCAGATGCCCCCCCACCCCCACCCCAAGAGGCCAGGTGCAAGACCTCCCCCTAACCTTGGAAGGCCCTGGAAGTTAATCTGGAAAATTTGAGCCAGAGAGGCTTCAGATTGGGGGTAGCAGGCAGTGCTGAGAGGAAATGCGAGGGCCTGTACTGAAAACAGGGCTGACATGTGAAACTCCACGTTCTGAAGGGTGAGAACTCTGCCCAGGCATGTTCTCTCCCTGGGTGCCCAGGACCGTGGAACCCAGGCTGATGCTCCAGGGCAGGAGGTGGAAGAATTCCTCGCTGGAGAGGGTGGCCAGCCACAAGGAAAAGACTGACAAATGCTGATGACTGGGGGTCTCCCCCAAATATGAGTGGGCCTCCAGCTGATCATCCTAAAGCAAGTCTAGGAGTGACAACTGGTCCCCTTCACCGCCCCCCCCCCCCCACACACACACAGCTGCCAATCAACTTTTTTAGTACCAAATTCTTGAATCTGGACTCAGCATTGTGACTTCTGTTGGCCCGTGGGATGTCAGCAAATATGAGAATACGGGCTTGCCCTCTTGGGGCTGTGGTCAGAGTCCTGAGACCACAGTGAAAATGAGCTTAAGCTAGCCTGCTGGAGAAGCCACATGGTGGAGAACTGAGGTGCCCCAGCTGACAGCCTACTGACCACCAGGTCTGTGATCGGAGCCAGGAGATGACCACAGGCCCAAGAGTGACACCAGGCAGGACTGACAAAACATCCACCCAGCTGAACACAATCCAAACTGCTGGCCTATGCAGGTGTGAGCACAGGAAATGGGTAGTGTTTTAAGGTGGCAAATGTGTGGGTGGTTGGTTCTGTGGCAATAGATATCCAAGACAGACTTGAAGGATGTGAGGGAGTCAGTTACATGGTTATCAGGGGGCAGGAAGCTCCAGGTAGGTTCAGGTATGGGTACATGGGCTGTGTGGGGAGGGGCTGCCAGGAGGCCAGCATGAAGGAAGCAGAGGGAGCTAGATCCCCAGGACAGGATGTCAGCAGTAATGGGGCATTAGCAGGGCCAGACTGGGCAGGCCTTACAGATCTTGGTAAAGGAGGGCTGTTATGCAAGGAGAACTGAGCCCTTTCAGGGTTCTGAGAAAAGGAGAGCCTAGATCTGACTGCATCCCCGTGGCTCCATTTCACCTGACTGAGTAGCATGCCCTGGATTTCCTGGAACTGGCTGCCGGATCCAGAGGTTAGGTGTTTTGGCAGGAACCCTTCATAGGTGCTGTAGGTCCTGACCCCAGAAGTCTGCCTCTAGCTGTGTGATGTTAGTTGGCATGGATGAGGTGTGCAAGAGGATTAATCCTATCATCTCACCTCCATTTATCATCTGGAGGACATCTGTAGAGCAATACATCTTCTCAGCAAATCATATGTTACTTTGAAGTATAATTTGATAAGAAAGGCTGATGTGATTTGAATCAAGAATCAATTGTGAGTCAATTTCCTATCCTCAACCAAAGGTGACCAATAAATATTTTATTTAACACTATAAACTCATGGATTTTTACCATTTGGTCTGTTTCCATCCATTGCAATTGCATTGTAATTATTCTTATTGATGCTTATCTTGCACCATCTTTGGCCCATGGAGGCATCTTCAGGTTCATTCCAGAGTCCTTCTGACATGACCGCAGGAGTCACTGATAGCTTCCTTGCTTTCTGGCATATTAAGATGCTCCAGGCTTATCATGCATGTTTCCCCCAGACCTTAAGTCAGCCATTTCTTCAAGGAGAGACCACAATCTGGGCACTAGTCATGCTCATTGCCGCTGGATCGGTCAACATTTCTAGGTCTTTTCAGGGCCAGGAAATGCACTGTTTAAGAGAAAATACGTTATGAGTTGATACTGATATTTCCAACAAATTTAGAATGACATGGTCTTACCTAACATTTCATTTTCTATTTGTATCTCTTTTCTTTTAGGCTGGAAATCTTGATTCCCAAAGACGTAAACATAATAACTTATTTGCTTTTGGCCTACAGTTTCAGAGCAACAATAGCAGTATTGTTACTAGAAATAGGAATACTGAAAACAGTTTAAGACTTCCTTGCAGTTCTTTTTTCTTTGCAGTATATGCCATTAGGGATGGACAGTCAAATTGCAGTGTTTAAAGCTATCATAAATTATTCCAGTCTGCATGGTTAAGCCACCAAGATGATACAAAATTAGATACATTCGTCTAATTTTGCTTTTGACTTTTTTAGCGATTTCCATTTTTTTCATTGTGGTTTAATTTTTTATAATTATGTAAAACATTCATACGATTCTGCAGTCAAATCTACAAAACAAAGTTTCTGCGGAGAAGCCTGGCTTCTGCTCCAGACCCGGTTCCCGCTCTCATTCTTACGTCACAGTTCATCTTTCCATTGCTGTTTTTTAATTGAAATTTGGTGTATATTCCAAGTGAAAAAAATTATGAGTTTGTTGCAAGAACAACTTTGATTAGATCTCAAAGACGTTTATAAATGTGTGCCAAAGGCCAATGTAAGTGAGTGTTAGTGATGTCAAGGAAACACCGGACCCTGGGGAGAACCCTAGTGTCCATCTTCCAGACCACGGCCCAGAGTGTGGGTGTCTCCGTCAGAGGTCCACGGTAGAGAACAGGGCCCACGCTGGCTGGTTTACGCAGGAAGCAACTTATTAGAGGATATGAGAGAATTGCTGTGGAGTCAAAGACACAGGCTCTGGGTAGAGCTTTCAGAACTGACTTCCAAACTGTACCACGAAACTACAGCTGCTGCATCACTGCACCAGGAGAACAGTGATGCCAGAACCGCCCTGGAATCAAGGGGCTGCTGCTACTGCCACTGCTGCCAGCTCCCAAGAGACGCCACTCCAGAAAATGGAGGCTCACACCCCACCTCTGGACATCCAGTGACCTGATGCTGTGCTGCCTGAAGAAACCAAACGTCTCCACCACTGGGCTTAAAAACGTGGCAGAGCCCGTGGTCCTGTTTCCCTTCCACCTGGCACAAGCATGCATCTTGCAGACCAGGCTGCCGAATTCTGAGAAGGGTCATTTTTACCGTTCCATCCCCTTGATTCAGAAAGGAAGAGTAGAAGAGAGTGGAAAGGAGATCAAGCACCCATCTACCATATAAATGGGGGGAACAGTGCTCTTATAAACACTGTTGAGGGAACAGATGTGATGGGAGAACCATTGTAAAGAAGGCTTGTCATTTGCCCTCCTGAGGCATTTTTCAAGGGGAAATTTTTAAGGGGGATTTTTAAAATGAGAATCTTACCTGTATGTGATGTGCGCCTTGGATCTTATGTTTGGCCCTTTCTAAGTACAACTCCACCCCAGTGGTGTTATTACTATAATTTAGGAAGATGATTGGCAGAAAGCGTTCAGATGCCCATCACGGGTAGGAGAGACAGAGGGGAGCTGGAGCAGGCTATAAGGCACGCTCCTCTCCTCCCCAGACGCTCTCAGGGTTTGGGGAGGAGGGATGTCCCTGGGCTCATTTAAGCTGGGCCAGAGCCTGGGGTCTGGGTCCTCGAGCTCCCCAACCTGAGTGACACACAGAGTCGGTAAAGGAGCATCGAATCGCTGCTGTCCTGCACTGAGTCGCGCTCACAGTGAAAGGCAAGTCGAGGAGGAGCAGGGCCGTCATGAGGCTCCGAACCCGGGCAGGGCTGCGCCCCAGCGCTGGCGACAGAACGAACGGCTGGGGACCAGGCTCCGCTCGCTCTCTTTTTTGTTCCTTAAATTTTTATTTTGGAATTTCAAAGAAACAGATACAGAAAGCTATGTTACTGCGCTGGATAAATCGAGGGCCTTCTACCAGAGCGGGGAAGGGGGCAGCCCGGCGGGTGGGCCCGGGGCGCGGCGACTCCGGAGGATCGAAGCCCGCGGGGCCGGGAGGAAGCTGTGGACAGTCAGCGCTGTCGCGTCGCCACGTCTGTGCGAGGGCCTGCTCTTCTGGAGCTGTGCCTGCGCTCGCCGGCTGCTCGGCAAACGTCCCCTTGAGCAGCCCGGGACCCGTGCGGGGCCACCCTCGGGTTTCCCACCGCGGTGGCCGCGGCCCGAGCGGCCGGCCCGGGAAGCAGCCGAGGCCGAGCGCTCCCCCGGCCCACAGTTCAACTTCAATAAAAGGGTCCAGCCCGCCCTTGATCACCCGTTTGCCTGACAGCCCCGCTCAGGCCCGGCCTAATTGAGCCCGGTCACCTGGGAATAGGTTCAAAGGCGTAAACCACCTCCAGGCCCCAAGCCAGGGCGGCCTGGCGAACAAAGAGCCCCCCGCCCCCCCCAGAACCACTTCAAACGCGCCCGCGCTCGGCGCCCAGATGGCGCGGGCCGGGGTCTCCCCGGCCGCCGGCTGAGGACGGGCCCCGTGCTGTCGCCACCCCTCGCCTTCCCGCCCCGGGCAGCCCGCGGACGCCCAGTGCAGGGGAGGCCGCGCAGGCCCGGCCGCAGGCGGTTCTGCGCCGCTCCCCGGACCGCCCTGCATCCACGGCCGACTCGTGAAGCCAAGCGGGAGAGCAGAGGCCGGGCCTAGTGGGCATCCCCGGCCCGCATCCTGCATCCCGCATCCCGGGCAGGGCCGCGCAGGTGGGCGCGGCGGGCACCGGGCGCTCCCGCAGAGGCTCGCTGTGGCGCTGAAGGTATAAAGCGCTTAGAAGGAGTGTCTGCGAGAAACGTCGGGGCCAGGGCTCCCCAACAAGTAGTGGGGAGAAACGGTCCCCGATACACGGCCTAGGCAGAGCGGGCTGCGTCTCCACGGATCCCCGCAGTGCGTGCGTGGGGAGCGGTGTCTCTAAGGGCAGCCGATTGTCCGGACGCCTGGAGTCGGGGCCCCGGGGCCCCTGCCCGCGCAGGTCTCCCACCCCAGGGCAAGGGTGCGGGCCGCGGCGCGGACTCGCTGCGCGCCCGGAGGCAGCCAAGGCGCACCCAGGCCTGGGCTCCCCCGGGGGCTACCCGCCGCGTCCTCACCTCCTAGGAGCGCATCTAGGGTAGGACTCGCCTCCCGCGCCCCTCGCTCCCCGGGAGAGATCCTGCAGCCCGGCGGCGCCTGATCTCCACGTTAAGGAGTAGACAAAGCCAGGTCGGCTGAGCCCAGGGTGCGGGGCGGCCAGAGAGCGGCCAGATGCCGGGATGGAGGCGCGGGCGGGGCGCGAGGGCCCGGCCTCCAGGATGCCCGCCGCGGCCCGGGCCGAAGGGGGAGGCAAAACTGAAAGTGCCGCGCCGGGGGGCGGGGGCGGCCGGCGAAGGCCCCAGAATTTGTCCTGCCCCCGGCCGCAGCGGCCAATCAGCGCGCCGCCCTCGCTCCTGACAACTATTTAGCAACCCAGCCCGGCTAGAGTTTCCAAAAAAGTTAGAATAACTTCCTCTCCCGGAGACCTCGGTTTTGCACAAGCCGGCCTTGAAATCAGAGCCTTTCGAGCAACTCGGAAAGCGTGTGCTCGGCGACCGCGGGCTTGGCCAGCGGCGCGCTCGGCGCCCGGCGCCCCCAGCCCCACGCGCGCCGGGCGGGCGCCATGGAGGAGGGCTCCAGCTCGCCCGCGTCCCCCGTGGACAGCCTGGGCACCAGCGAGGAGGAGCTCGAGCGGCAGCCCAAGCGCTTCGGCCGGAAGCGGCGCTACAGCAAGAAGTCCAGCGAAGATGGCAGCCCGACCCCGGGCAAGCGCGGCAAGAAGGGGAGCCCGAGCGCGCAGTCCTTCGAGGAGCTGCAGAGCCAGCGCATCCTGGCCAACGTGCGCGAGCGCCAGCGCACCCAGTCGCTCAACGAGGCCTTCGCGGCGCTGCGCAAGATCATCCCCACGCTGCCCTCGGACAAGCTCAGCAAGATCCAGACGCTCAAGCTGGCCGCCAGGTACATAGACTTCCTCTACCAGGTCCTGCAGAGCGACGAGATGGACAATAAGATGACCAGCTGCAGCTACGTGGCCCACGAGCGCCTCAGCTACGCCTTCTCCGTGTGGCGCATGGAGGGCGCGTGGTCCATGTCCGCCTCCCACTAGCGCCGCGCCACCCACGTCCGGACCGGCGCGCCAGGGTAGGTGCTGCGCGCGCGATGGGCGGTCTCCGCTGCCGGGGACGGGCGGCCCGGCCTGCGCACCCCTCCTCGAGGAGGCCCCGCGGGCTGCGGCGGCGTGGATGGGATGCGCTTTTCCTCCTAGCAACAAATGGGGGTCGGTTGGGAAGCTCCCATGTCCAGGGGGCACCCCTGGGGCCTTTTGCAATCTTCCATGCAGGGTGTCAGTCGGCAACGGGCGGACTGGTGACTGTCGTATTTTCCCTCCTTGGTGCTGTGTGGGGGTCTGTGGGTGACTGTCGGAGGAGTGGGCATCAGAAGAACGGCCTGGGGCCGGCTAGGGCCAGGGAGATAGGAACCAACCTCCCTTTGCGTCCCTAGGAGCGGAGGCCGCCCGGGAAGCTGCCCGAGCCGGGTAGTGCCTGGCTGTGGCTTCGCCCTCTTCCCGGGGTGCGGCAGAGCGCGTGGGTCGTGCCGAGACTCACTTCTCCCAGGCCCAGTTCCCTGGGGCTCAGCCGTCGGCGCCGTGATCGGCCAGGTGCGCGCAGAGGTTCAGGCGGGCGCCTAGGTTTGCCTGGAGAGGGCAGGAGGAAGCTGCCCTGCGGTGGCGACTCCAGGACCAGTGCCGCCGGAGAGCCGGGGACGGCCCTGCGCCGGGAGCGTGGGACACAGGGCCGAGGCTGAGGCGCGGAGACCGGAGCGCGGAGGCCGGGGTAGACACCCGCAGGCAGGTGGAGCGGACCTCTGAACTGGGAGCCTCTGGTCCCAGCCTTGAACCTGGAGAGTCTGGGAGGGGGCTCTGCCCGCGCCGAGTCCAGGCGTTCGACCCAGCAGGGGAGCGCCAGGGATCCAGGCTGGGAAACAGGTTTGCGGGGAAAGGGAGGCGGTGCGCGAGCCCTGAGCGGGCGAAGGCAAGGGGGCCACAGCTGCTGAGAACATTGGAAGCTCTGGTTTTCTCTGGAAGAGCACTCAGGGCGTCCTGCGCTGGCTCCTTTCACCAGACACCTTGGAAATCCCTTTAGACAAGCTCTAACTGCGGAGGCGCCCTCCCTTCCAGAAGGCTCTGTGAGACAAGTGGGCATCTTCCTTCCAAAGGTCTTTGTGTCTATGGAAGAATGCAAGATTTGGGGGCCTGTGGGGGGGGGGGGGAGCCGGGTTAAAAATCTTTCCTATTTAATGTGCTTTAGCTTCTTGCTCTTCTTGCAATGTGTTTATGAAAGTCTCTACTTCACACAGAAGGAATTTAGATTAATCAAGAGCGTGCAGCCGCCCCTTCTCCCAAACATATCTATTTCTTTTTTATGTGGTTCTATAATATCTGCGAATGTTTTTGCTGGGACCACGAAAAGCTGATCCAGCACAGGTGGATTTTAATTTTTTTCTTTAGTTTTTGTTTCTGTGCCACTGGAAATTCTTTTGATGAAATAGCCTCCTCAGATAATGATCGTTTTATAGGTTTTTTAAAAAGAGTTTTTAGCGGAGAATAACGTATGGGAATCTTCTGCTATCTTTGTCAAAAACAGATGGAAAGTGTCTCAATCACATATTTCTCTAGGAAAGAAAGTTTGGACTGGCTGAGTACTAAAATGCTACAGTGGGATAATACATTAATTCTGTTTTTCGCTGCCTAAATGATGAACTTCCATTAGTTAATTCCATTTACCCTCTATCCCATCCATAGTTTACAGCACATCTGAAATAAGAACAAACAAATGAGGAATGTCATCTTTTAAAAATGTACACATATAGCTTTGTTTAAGGAAAACGTCAACAGAATTATCATCAAGACTTCCCTCCAGAAAATTATTGAAGGCAAATACCAGGAGATATTACCTTAATGAAAATTTAGTAGGATTATTTAAAATTCATTGAAAAATAATCAGATTCCTAAAATTTAGAGAATCAGACATCACAATGAAAGATTATATAAAAATAAAAGGCAGTACTTGTAATAAGTAAATGAAAAGTGTTGAGTTTATTTGGGGAAAAAACCTTCAAATATAAGAGAGAACACATTCAGCTGGAGAACAAATGATCTATATGGGGTCACATTTATTTTTCATCTTCTATACTGGAATATAACTGACTTGTTCCAAGAAACCAGTTTCTTTAGATACATAGATACTCATTCTCTACAAGAAGAGAAGGGAAATATGGAAAGTCTTGATACACTAATGATTGTGGATACACTGTTTTTATTTATCGGGTATGTTAGACAAACATTGTTGTATCCTTTTTGTTTTTAACCTGTTAGTCTCTGTGAGTATAGATACAATCATAATTGATTTGATTTCCTGAAAATGTTGCTAAATGGCATTCATTTGTAACATTTAAGAGAAGCGTTAGTTATATGTATCAGCAAAGAATTTCCAGACCTTTCAGGAAATTGTATGTGATTTTAATGTCTAATGTGAGATGTTTTCACATATATGAAAAAAGCTGTGTCCAGGCAAACAGCAAGAACAATAAAAAGCCTAAATTATTGCTTGATATAAAGAGAAACACAGGAAATAGTGGAGGACGGCTGGTGCTAATATTTATCCTGACTTTCTTTTTGGTCTGGCAGTTAGGAACGTGAATAGACGATAAATCAGATGTCTTCGGACAGTCAGCTGGTTCACCTAATCAGAAAATCTCAAAAGGAGTTTTCAGTATTCTCATTAAATGCCTGAGAATTAGGAACAGGGTCAGAAGCACCTGGCTCAGAGAGTGGAAGAAGGTGACAATTGCTTACTGGACATTTTTGCTTTTTTCTACTTTGTGGTTAAAAAAAATCTCTAACGTCTGCAATATGCGCAGATTTTCAGTAGGTTACTGTACTCAAGAAACTTTTTTTCTAAGAACTTTTTAGTTACTTTGGAGAACAAAGTACGACCCTCTCACCATCCAATATTTGTAAGCCTTTTCCTCCCTCCTGAAAATTTACTTCTTGGAGGTGTTTGTCGACTGCTACATTTGGGATGATAGCTGGTCTCATAAGAAAATTAATTCCCTGTGGAGAATGGAAATGCAGAATCCCAGGAGAGCTTTCGATTGGTCAGAAGAAGTAGAATGAAAGACTGAGCTACCTGGAATATAAGTCATGTTTTGTTATAAAGTACTCATCGATAAGATCCAATGCAGAGGGCTGACCTCCGTTATGTGAACATTGTTCCCTTAAATGTCTGTAGCTGTTCCGTCAATCTTGAATGAAGGAAGTCTTGCTACCCATCTGGCCAGAGTTGGGGCTGGAAGGATGGGTCTTTGCAAGTGGCTGTTTGAGGTCATTTGAAATATAGTAACTTATTGAGGTTTTCTGAAAAATCTACTCTTTTCAGACAAGACTTGAGCCTGAAAGAATTGACTTTTCATCATCCTTGCTTCACTATACTCTGGGTAGACGGCACAGATGCCAGATTCTTTTTGCCTGGCAAAAAGATCATAAACCCTTTCTGAACAGAGCACTCTAACTCATAACTTTCGTTTAAATCTGGGCTTTAAAAAAAACAAATATTTTAATAAGCCAATTTTAAAGGCTGAACTTTTATGACAGTTTTTAAGCTTAGTATTTATATTAATCTATTCTCCCTGGTGTCTTTAAAAACCCTGTGAATGCACGATGGAATGTCTGTTTATGTTTGTGTCTTTTCCTGGGAAAGGATAAATGTGCTGCAAAAAGCAAACCAAATATAAAGCTCTCCACTAGCAAAGAGTTCACGAACGAGGCAATAAAATTCAAAGAAGAGATGAATAAGTTACTGTAGCCAAGAAACAGAAAGCCATGAAGAAGAAATAGACTCTAAGAGATACAGACATGCACGCATTCAGAAGGAAAGCCAAGATGAAACACTAAAAACAGAAACTGCTTAAAAAGATATTCCACATGGTCACCTGAGTCTACACATGCGATGAAATTGTATAGATCGAAACACACACACACACACACACACGCACAAGTGCATGTAAAGCTGGTGAAATCTGAATAAGATCTGGAGCTTGTATCAATGTCAGTTTCCTGGTCGGGATACTGTATTATAGTTCTGCAATATGTTACCATGGGGAGAAACTTAGTGAAGAGTGTAAAGTAATCTGTCTGTGTTATTTCTTACAACTTCTTGTGAATCTACATTATCTCAAAATAAAAAGTTTAAAAGCAAAGATATTCCACAAGAATTTTTTAAAAATTTTCTGTATTCAAGTGAGCAAATTATATAAGGAATCATTATCATGTCTTATCTCAGAGTAAAAAGCTAAAAATGTGCTTTGAGCAAAAATCCATTTTTTCCTGATATCATTTGCATTGTTGCACTTCTTTCCAGAATATGAGGAATCTCAACATATCTCCGATATGTAATTAATTAGAGGTGGTTCCTTATAATTCTTAAACAAAGAGCAGAATCCCATAAATCTGACAGAGAAACACCAATCAGTACATTTATTCCTAAACTAATAAAGAAAATATTTTTCAAAGAAATTTTAGGAAATATTTACCTGAAACTGACACGACATTTGCTTTTAAGAGACTAAGTCTGCATTGGCTTGCATGAAACCCCCAGCCACACACACACAATTCTAAAGTTTAGATTTATAAAAGTTATTCACCAAAAAGTATAGAGATTAAGGTTTTAGTATTTACAGCCATACACACTTGAGGGGTGCACAGTGGGTTGGGGGGAGAAACACAGAGAGAGAGAGAGACAGAAAGACCAAGAGAGAGAAAGAAGGGGAGAAAGAGAAAGATATCAAATCCTAAACTCAGTCATGGTTATTTTAAATTAATATTTGTTTGCCCTGGGAACATATTTTGTATTTTGGTTCAGTAGTAAACCTTTGAATATTATTTAGTTGTATGAAATGGGCCCTAATTTAATTTTTATTTTGGAATGAGATATAGTGACATTAACGATGTGATTTTCACGCTGATGTAAACTAAGGCACAATGGGATTTTTCTTCAGTGATTACTAATGGTTGTCACGTTAAAAGGAGAAATGAATCAGAAACTGGAAAAGCCAGCACGTAACTTTATTCTATCATGAGGGAA